CATTTCTTCCTCACACCTCCTTAGCCATTGACAGAATCCTCCGTCTTTGTCACGTGGTTTCAACCAGAGGGCATCGTTCCTGCCTGGCCAGGACTGACATTGCTCAGGCGGCCAGTTTGGGGGCGGCAGTGACTGTGTTGCCCCGTTAAACAAACACATTTGTACGCTGATGAGTTGAGCAGCATTTTCGATTCCAAAAATGTCGGACTGTGCAGTTGCCGCTTCCGCTGGGGTAGTGTAGTTTGCTGGTGACTATGTGCTTCATACAGTTTTGTGCCTATGTGTGAGGGTGCATATAAAAATATATACACTATATTTCTACCCTACCTTCAAAATGAAACAGTCTTCAGGGTTAGCAGTCTTCTGTGGAAATGACGGATGTGCTGTCAAAGCTGGAGAGCCGGATGGGTCTGCTGCTGAAGGAGCCTGGCTGTGCCGCTTTGGGCTCTGGGAGACCAGCGGTCTCACACACCACTGAAGCAAGCAGGGAATTCTCTTAGGCTGCCTCTGATTTTTAGATACCCTGTGAAAAGTGGAAATGGGATGGGGCCACAAATGGCCAAGTTGCTGCCTGTTGGGGCAGCCCTGGAGACACCAGAAAGGGCGGGCGTCTTCTCCCAGCCCCAGCCCCCTCCCCAGCCCCAGGCCAGCGGAAAGGGGGTCTCAAGTAGCAACGCTGGTGACCTTCGAGGTGTGCAAAATACGTAATGGGATTTTGGGAATGCATTTGCTTTGTTCCCCTCAGATGTTTGTGTGTTTATTAATACAGAATGCAATTTTCAGCAGACATCAAAGGAAACACGCAGCATTCAAATCAGTCCGTGCTGTAATGTGGCTACAGAAAGGAGAGCTCTGGGGAGGCTGGGGTTCCCCACCTGCAGCCCTTGCACCCCGTGGCTTCCTAGCCCAGCAGGCCCCATGGCAGTGGGACCTGCATTCAAGGTAACATGCCCGCTGCCCAACCTCTTTGGGGAAGGCTCCCCACCTGCCATGCGTGCTCAGGAAAGTGCGCTTGACTAGAAGGTGGGGGGCAGCAGGTGGGCCCCTCCCAGGCTGATCCAGTGGGATCCACCATTCCTTGCCCTCCAGGGGACTGCACAGGCAAGGATAGCTGCACCGGGACACCGGGAGACAGGCAGCGTGCTGTGGGCACAAGCCTGCTTCTAGCTCGGCGTAGTGGTGTCCAGAAGGCATTACCTGAAACCAGCAGTGCCCAAATGTGGCTGCACAGCCTCTTCCGCAAGCAGCGTGCAGGGACAAGCAGGAGCCCCGGGCACCCGCCGCCCCTGCTCCAGCAAGTGACGCTGGCCACAACCGCACGCGCGATGGCCTTCCGGGTAAGCAGGACGCCGCTGTGCCACGCACCGCTGGGCCAAGTAGGGCAAACATCATGGAGTTTGGGCATTTTACAACCCGCCTGGGCAAAGTCCCAGGCTGTTCCTCTTCTTGTGTACCACCCAGAGAGCTTCAGCTACTGGGCAGTACAGGAATAACAGTCGTAAGAATAACTGCGTATATCCACGGCTGCCCTTCATGAGCAGAGCTCCCTTACTCAGAAGGTTTCAAGGTCTTGTGCTGCTTCAGCTTCACTGAAAGTTACACTAGAGTCCAGTGCCCCCTTTCGACACACACTTGGGCTTGCAACATCCTATTTATGTTGACAAAGAAAGGGGTGCGTGGGCAAAAACCCAAAGTCAGTGTTCAGTTTCCCCTCCCCAACTCCAAAAGTAGGCCTGTAATCCGAGTAGGGCCAAGTGAAGTGAGACGGAAATATCAGAGTTGAGAAAGGAAAAGCAGGCCGGTTGCAACCGAGCTTGTGGTCCTGCCTCATGCCTTTGGAGGCAAAGTGAGAGAAGGGCCCCCCGGGGGCGGCTCCTGGGTGCTGGCACCCCTGCCAAGCGTGGGGATGGCGACCCTGCAGTGGCCCTTTCCCTCTGGCGCACTTCAGAGCCCCAGGGGGCCCACAAATGTGGCTTTTGGTGTGTTTGTTTTGGAGTCAGAGCACAGCAGTGTTGGGATGGGCCCATGGGGCCCTCAGGTCTAACCCTTGCTCAACTCCAGTTCAAGAATCCTGGCCCTAATCAAACTCTTGCATATTTTTCCTTGTTCTGTGATTGCAAGCTGCTTGGAAGGGCAGTTCCCCTTCAACAATTAATGGTCTGACAAATAGACAAAATGATTGCCACCTTTCCTTGTGCGTGTCCTGCAAGGACAGGCCATAGATATTGCGATGCCATAGAATGCAAAATGGAGCCGATCATACGAAGGCTTGCTCAGAACCCCCAAAGCAGGAGTCCTCAGGTAGCCGCCTCTAGGAGCAGGGTCTCTGCCTAGCAGTTGTGGGGAAACAAAAAGAGAAGGGGGCTTTGCACTTGCATCCTGCTGGTGGGCCTCCTGGGGGTGCAGCTTGTGAGGCACTGTGGAAATGGGGGTGCTGGATGAGACGGCCTTGCAGGTGTGACCCAGCACTGCTCCGCCTCGAGTCAAAGTCTGCCGGGAATGGGCCACTCTGCACACACTCCGAGCGGCAGGAGAGAACGGGGAAGGGGGCAGAAAAGAACTTCCCACTTCTGATGGTAGAATGTATTCTCAATAGCTGCCAAGTACAATAAACCCCTAGCCTAAAATGTTCCAAGTGAACAACTTTTGTGAGATGAAAATTTTGAATACACAATTCAGGATGAATTTTGATAAACATTTTAGGTGTTCAGAATTCAAAAGCTGGAACATTTGCACCAAAACTTGATGGAAGAGTCAACAGAACTCAAATTGAACATTTTAAGCCAAAACAATTGTGAGACAAAATGGAATCAGAAAAGCAACATTTAACCAAGAATTGCATGTTTTATGTTCATTATTTCAAAACTGGAAAAACAAAAAGCCCTCTCAGACAAACATTCTTTTTTAAAAATAGAAATGCTGTACCCTACTCTGAAAGGATGGGCTGGGACCGACTCTGGTCATCCCTAGACAGGAAGAGATGCGGGGCTACAGGAATGGGGAATGCGGAATTTGCTCCTCTAGATCCTAAAGAGCATGCATAGAAACCAGAAAGTTGCCAGAGCAGTTTTTACAATCCTGAGATTTAGCTTTTTTTCCCCTTCCTCTCTGATGATTCTTATTGTCCAATTCTACTCCTGAGTCACAAAAAAGTGTACTAGTTTTCTTATGGAAGATTGTCAACAGTGACCTTGCAGGTAGGGCTTTGCAGAAAATGATGGATGCGAAGATCTCTCCACTGCACCCCAACCCATTACATGGGCCTCCTCTAAATGGACGCTGCTTAGCTTTCTGCTCAGTCCTTCCCGACTTCCCATGGAGAATTTTAATTTGAGAAACTGCACTTGTGCGATTCAGCCTCCATTCATCCTCATTGTTTCCTCTAACTTTCCCCTGCAGGTGAACACTCATGCGCATGGAGACTGTGCCTTTGAAAGGCGTGTGGCTGCACTCCCAGGGTCAGGTGGGGAGGTGATGCTGCCCCCTGTGCCCCAGAACGCCCCCCCCCCCAGCAGCGGAGGGCACCGCCAGCAGGGTGGCTGCGTCTGCTTGGGAAGCACTGGCTGCCGCAGCCCCTTCACCTCGTTTGCCAAGAGGGCGGCCCCATTACCTGGAGGGCTTCAGGGGATCACCCACCCGCCCGGGTCCTGCTTAATGTTAGTCAGGACGAATGCCCGCCGCTTGCCTTCCCTTCCTCCCGTCGGTCTGCCTGTCCACCCATCCGCCCGTCCTTCCTTTTCTTGTCTGTTTCAGCAGCTCAGCTCCTCCGATGCTGGAGACTGAGCGGGACCGGCAGCTGAACGCGTCCCTTTCCCGCCCCAGGGCTTAACGCAAGACCCGCTGGGCAGGCCTCCTTTGCTCCGCTGCTCTTCTCCTGGGCTTGCCTGCAAACTTGTCCCCTTTTCAAGAGGAGAGGGCTGAGGGTCTAACTTGATCTCAAAAAAACAAATGCTTTTTGCGTACAAACATTTCTATTGCAACGTTTCAAAAGAGATTATAAATCCACATATGAAGAAGCAAAGTCAAAATGCTTGTGTTGATTCAGTCATTCACACGGATACATTCTCCAGAAACCATGCTGCACGTTTGCCCTTGCGCGACTCGACCGGGGGCGGAAACAGGAGGGGATGCAAACTGCAGCAAGAGCCAACTGTGCACACAACAATATTTACAAAATCCGAAAATCCATTCAACATGACAGATAACCAACACACGGATGCCACTCTGTGACCACAGATGGATAATTCAGAGCCACAAATCCAGGGAGGAATTCCGAAGGAGCTCCCCCGCGGAGAACAAAATGAGGAATGCGAGGAGACACACACTGCAGAGGCGGGCACAGCGTGTCACCCGCTCCCACAGAGCCCTGGGAGCTGCCGTGGCGCTTCCGCCGTGGCCAGTGCCCCAGTCCTGCCAGGCCTGCCGGACTCCGAGACCCCCCCGCCCCGCTCGCCCGCTCCCGCATCATCTCCCGGCGGAAACCCAAGGCGGAGTCCCCGAGTCAACGGAGCTTCCTCAGCAGGGAGGGGAGCAGCGCGGCGGGCGGCTGCGGGCTTTCTCGGAATGGCGGGCCAGAGCCACCCGGGCAGGCCAGGGGGTGATGCGGGCGGGAGGGAGGCAGGGAGGCAGTGGCGCGACACTGGCGTCCACGGGGAGGGGTGGGGGGCCAGTCGGGGTCACAGGCGGGTGCAGGGGAGGTGGCTGTCATACTTGCGATGCCGGGGCCCACTTTCCCGCGAAGCTGCCCCTCCACCAGCCCCATCGCACGCACGACAAACATAAAGATAAAGAAGGAGCATGTTGAATGGGGTTTCTAAGGAAGTCTCCTTAAAAAAAATCACAGTTTGATTCTTATGAGAAAGGAAGGCAGTCAGCGGAAGTAAAACGAACCCGAATAAAGAGAACATGAGCGTGGAACCGTGAAGTGAACCTTCACCCCACAGAGGAGCCTCCACCTGGGGGTGTCCGCGTGGGCTGGCGGGAGGGCCGCTTCCTTGGGATCACTCCTTGGGGATCATGCCCTTGATGGCCGACTCCCGGTTGACGTACGTGGCCCAGTACACCATGTTGAAGATGGCGAACAAGATGGGAAAGACGATGCGGGACAGTTTGTCCACTTTGCTGACACTGTTGTACGTCTTTTTATTCTCGGGGGGAGGCTTCTCTTCCAACCGGGGCACCTTTGGGGGGACAATGACTGTGGCAGGCACGGCCGCGGTGCTGGCCGCGCTCTTGGCAATGGTGGGGAGGGCAGGCTCTTTGGGGGCGATGTTGAGCGCATAGGTGGTGCCCACAATGTTGTATGTGTTGTTCGTCTTCTTGGCCAGCGTGATGGGCTCCTTTTTCTGGGGAGAGAAGCAGAAGCCTTGGGATGCTGGTGCAGCTCTGGGGCACCACGCACAGCCCAGCACGCCAGGGCCGGCTGCAGGACAGCGAGGCCCGTAGAGCTCGGCCTGCCGGAGGAGGAGCCCTGTGCCAGCTGCCAGTTCCCCATCGCGGGGCCGCTCCCCAGCAGGGCGACCCACAGCCCCACGGGATGAGCTGGAGCCTGGGAGTGCCGCGACTGGTGCGCCAAATGCTCGTGATTGCCGGATCAGGGGATTATCTTGTGTCGTGTGGGGGCTGCCCCAGTTCCTCACCCCCTGCCTGATGGGTTCCCAGCGTTCGCTTTGAAGCCCTGTGTGTCCTGGCCTTTTTGCCTGGAGGGGAGCCCTCCCTCTGCCAGGCCACCCACGCCCAACGTCATCCCGGAGGGCCACCGTCCCAGCTTCGCTGCAGTGGTGCTGCTGCACAGGACGCCCGCCTTGCCGAGCGGTGCCTGGCACCACCTCTGCCCCCGTTTGGGGACAGACTGGGCCCTTCCTGTCTACGCGGGTGTTTTAAGGTGCTGATAGGACTGAGCTGCTCGAGGCATTGACTGCCTTTGGGAGATGATGCCATTTCGGCAGCTGTAGTGTGCAGGACATTATAGCAGCCTGGACTCTACCCTCTGGGATCTGCAGGAATGGACAACAGCTTAAGCCATCCTAGTAAATAAATAGAGTACGCAGCTGGATGTGTCTGGCAGAGTCTCGCATATCACCTCCTTCCTGCTGAGGGACAGCAGAGGCCTCTTTGCTGGTGCCTGCCCATGGAGGACAACCTTCGGCTTTCTCAGCCTGGCTCCCACGGCTGGGCAAAATGAAGTCATCCTTATTCTAAACACTGGGGGACACTGCCAGCTGCACTGAGGGAGAAGCCATTTGGAAGTGATTTCCAGGTCGCCAATATTTGATCAGCTTGTGCTGGGCACTTGCAAGGCATGAAGCAGCAGCCGGAGGATGCGCGGTGGCTCTTTTTGTCTTTCTGGGGCGCAGCCCGCAGGTCAGCATTGCCAATCACGTCTGGAGCGAGTCCTCCAGAGGAGGCAGTTCTCACATGCACGCCCCACTCCCCATGCGCTCTTCGTACCTCGCACTCTGGGGCTTCCTCACCTTCATTTCTTGGGCCTCCAGCACCTTCTTGCCATCCCAGGCCCAGCTGCGCTTTGTGAAGTAGTTAACTGCGGCAAACTCAATCAGCGCAGAAAACACAAAGGCATAACAGACGGCTATGAACCAATCCATGGCCGTCGCATATGCCACTTTGGGCAGTGAGTTTCTTGCGCTGATGCTCAGAGTGGTCATAGTAAGCACAGTGGTGACCCCTGCAGAAACACAACCAGAGAAGATGCTGTTGGAGATGCCCCAGAAGGACACCCCCTCCCATCCCACCAGGCCACCAGGCCTCCTTGGGCCACCGGGCCACGGCACTGCCCACAGCATGCAACTAAGAGGTCCCGGAGACCAAAGGAGCTGGTGCTGTATCTGGGCACAGTCCCACCATCGGCACGGATGGGGCCGTGCCCAGCTGCATCATCAGCACATCTGGCCCAAAAGCAAGACACCTGATGCCAGGCAGTGATGCCTAGTGGAAGGAGGCATGGCACCTGGTGAGAAGGGGCGGAAGAGCTCCGTTCACATTCTGGCAGTGACCTGCCAGCGTTGCCCCATGTACATGCCCTCCATTACCCAGAGTCCCTTACACTGCACCGGAAACTGTTGAAGGCCACACATTACAGAGGGCTATGCGGGCTTTGTCCATGAAGGCCAGACCTGGAATACTGCGCAGAATTCTGGTCTGTGCACCAACACACATGTTGAAGGACCAGAAAAGAGCAACAAAAACCATCAAAGGGCAGGAGCAGCACCCCTGCCATCAAGGTTGCAATATCTGGAACTGTTTTGCTTAGAGAAAGTGGGATTGATGCAGGAACACAAAATGATTCATGGGTCACAGAAGGTGGATACAGAGGCATCTTTGCCCTATCCAAGAATACATGAATGCAGTGGGGTCCTCACATGAAGCTGATTGGTATGAGATTAAGGACAGACTGAAGGAAGTCTTCTTTTCCCAGTACCTAGAAAAACTATGGACTTGACTTCCACCAGAGGTAGCGATGGCCACCAATTTATGGAGCGTTAAAGTGGACGGAGCCCGTAGGACTGCCAACGGCTGCTTGTCCCCAGTGCTGGAGGCTCCATCCGTATCAGAGGCAGTAGGGCCATGTACACCAGTCCCTGGACAAAAGGGAGGGAGGCTGTGTCCTACTCCGGGCTTCCCGCTGGGGCTTCTGGTTGGCCCCCGTGGGAACAAAACACAGGGCCAGCGAGGCCTTCAGCCCGATCCAGCATGCCTCTTCTTAGGTTTCGAATGCCAAGCCCTTGATCCCAGGGCTAAGAGCCGCCCCATGGGGAGCACAGGTCAGCTGTTGTCCCTCTCAAGCCAGGGATGGGTGGGAGGGAGGCAAGCCTTGGTCGCTTTTCTCTCTCGTGTGGAGGCCAACTGGGTGGTGACCTGGAGAGCTTTGGCAATGTCCCAGTCAAGGCAAAAGGCCTGAGGAGGCAGCTGAGACTCCTGTCCGACTAGAGCTGTGCTGGGAACATCAGTGGGGAAGGGGACTTTGGGGGAAACCCCAGGCCAAACCCTCATCTAAACAAAACCTTCCCCCTGCCGACCATGAGATGGTGTGTAGGAACTTTGTTGGATTTTGGCACAGCCCCCTTCTTTAACCATCCTCCAGACCCTGCCCCCCCCCCCCCGCACCTCCCTTTCCTCCCATGGACTAGCACAGGCCTGTGTTAGGAGTTCTGCTAGGAAGCCGTACAGACTCACCCCCGTTTGATTACCAACACCTGTGTGGGGAGGGAATGAGAAATTTCGGTTCAGCTGAGAGCACAGCAGCAAGGCAACTTCTCCCCGTCTCCGCTCCCCTCACCACCATGGCTGCTGGGCTGGGGCACGGTGATGAGGAGCAGGGAAGAAAGCTGTGTAGCACAGACAGGAGACACGTCTTCCTCAGAGGCCTCACCCAGTGCCAGCGTCCTGGGAATCACAGCAGCTGCTTCTGGGGGCACCACACGCCTCCTTTCTTAAGTACAACAGTACCAGTGGAGAGGGCTGGGTGAGGCGCTCTGAGGGCAGCCTCCCAGAGACTGGCCGGAGCATCCAGGAAGACCCTGCAGGGAACTCTCAAGAAGGTTGCGTCGTTGTTCGGCATCCAACAGGAAAGCCAGAAAATGAAGCAGCCAGCTGAACTTTGTGCATCAAATGCAAGAACAAGATCTTTGAGATCCTGAGCACCCACTGCGGCTAACACTCAAGGTCCTGTCAAGGCTGGAAGCGACGCTCCACTCTGGCTGTCAGGTCACCCAGCGTGGTCTGAGTCCAGCTTCCCTGAGATGCCTAGCCAGGCTCCAGCAGCTGCAGGTCCAGCTCAGAGCACCTGCATGCAAACAAAGGGCTGGTCATCTGCAGGCCACTAGGCTGGGCCACTGCGGAGAAGGCCCTGTGCGGAGAAGACACCAGAGCACTACAGCTCCCACCTGGCAACCGTCAGTCCTCTTTGGCTGCTGAACCCAGGAACTCTGCAATAAGAACTGCCCTTCAAATCCATTCTGGCTCCGGAGACCTTCTAATCGCACTCCCCAGCACTTCTGGAGTGAAGAGTTGACGCAAGACCAAAAAATGAAGGAATGAAATTAATTGGCGTAAAAGCGGGGGGAGGAAGGCCCCAGGGACATGCTGATGGTGTGGTGTGGGTGGGAAGCTTTACAATTTAGACCTAGCGTGGTTCCAAAGAGATCCTTCTTCAGGAGTGCTATGAATATAACCAGAATGGAACTGTTATATTGTTCTGTGTCACAAGAACTCTGATAGCTAAGCTCATAGTGCTTTATCCACATCATGAATAAGCAGAATAATGAAATGATTTATCATGTAGAAATTTCCCAATTAAATACCAAAGCATAAACAAAAACGCAAAAATATGGCAAGGAAAGAATGTGAGGCTAACCAATGTAGGTTGCAAATACTTCAGCTTAAAGGAATAAACCAGTTTGTGGGAAAGGTTTATATTTTTCGGGCCTAGAAAAATATACATTCATATATGTCAACAATAAAAATGACTGTAGTCATTTAACCAAAAAAATGTGTTTTATACAGACGTGCACAGAAAAGCAGATCATCTCACTGTTGTGCATTCTGAAAGCTCTAAAAGCTCCTCTGGGACACGTTTCTGCAGAAGGGGGCGGAAAGAAACCGAAGGCTGCAGTTCTGTGCCCAATCGCCTGAAGGAAAGTCACACTGAAAGCACCGGGATAACTCTGAGTAGACAAGCACGAGAATGAGGCTAAAAGCCCAGAGGGAAAAACAGTTGAGCCTCAAAACTGGTTATACCTGGATAGACCTAAAATGCCTTGCAGAAAGCAAACGCCAACATATGCGAAAGAGGTCCTCTTAAAAGCAACGATGAGAAGTTATGCTATAACAAAAAAGAGGCACTGCTGTAAACCACCCAGAGAGTTTTGGCTAATGGGGGTACAGAGATGAGATAAGGGACAACGAGGAACCATGCTGGCTGGGAGGCGCAAACGGCACTCCAACGTGCGTCGCGAGGTGAGTGGGGGGCACAAACGTGATTCCTGTGAACAGTTTTCCTATTGATGTTTTTGTGTATACACACACCCTCCGGTCCTACTTTGCTGATTTCATAGTGTTCCTGAAGAAGGATTTATTTTTCAGTCTTTCTTTCTTGTGTACCTGGAAATTTTCTGTCTTCTATTCTTTGCTGCATCTACCCAACGATTCTAGTGCTGGAGGACCAAATGATCTTGCCTCCCTTTCCAACTTAATTAGATTGCATGACTGGGGCTTGGAAAGAAGTTGCTAACCAAGTTCATTGGTTCTGCCCAGGCCTAACCCAGGAAGACCAAATATTCTGGTGAATTCTGCTCCCCAGACATCAGTTTTCCCTGCCCTCGCCCCCCATCGGAATGCTGCAGGACCTGCTAAGACAGTGTCCTCCCAGGGGCTCATGGAGTCGGAGGACTTTTGTGAGCTCTGGGGAAGATTCTGCAATTTAGAGCCGCTGATCCTGGCGAGGTCCTGCTTTGGAATGGAGCGGTGGACCATCAGCATGGTTTCTCCTCCACAGCGGCCTCCCTGGTGCTGTAACATGTGACTGGTTTGGGATTTCCTGCAGCGCGTCGGATGGGACGAGCAGCAAGACACGCAAGAGCACCTTTGGTGTGGGACTAGCAGTGAGGATGGCCAGACGCGTGGTCTTGCCAGGTGTTTGTTAGTAAGACAGTTACACCGTTGCTCTGTCCCTTTCCTGGGGAAGATCTTTGAGTGGGGCCTCATAAAAAGTTCACCAGCATGGAGTTCGAGAGGCTGATGGAGAGGCAGGCAGGAAAGCCTTGGGGCAAATGCAGGTGGATCTTCTCCCCTCAGCACCATTCCCTCCCTCTGCCTTCTCCTGGTTGCCCCCGGATCATGTCCCTGCCAGAAACTCACCGAACACTGTCCGTGCTGGGACGCTCTCCCTGTTGAGCCAGAAGGAAACCTGGGACAGAATGACGGTCATGATGCAGGGCAAGTAGGTCTGGATGACAAAGTACCCAATCTTGCGCTTGAGGTGGAAGTAAGTGGTCATCACAATGTAAGTTCCTGGAGAGATTGAGGGGAGGGGAGATTACCCAAGAGAGAGGCATTCATATCCTGCAGAACAGGCAAGGCAATTCTCTGGGGGTGTCCTTAAAACTGCCAGCAAGCCCTGCATGGTGCAGTTATCGGCTGCATCTACCAAGCCTGTTGCTCCCAGCTCTGGGGCTCTTGGCAATTCACGCAGGCCAACCTAGTCATCTCCTGGCAGCCCATTCTGGCAGCCTAACAGCTTGGATACTGCTGGAGTTGGGACTATATGTAGTCCTTCCACCTGCAACATCTGGCTCCCCAGTTGGGTTGCTGGAGGAAAACAGAAGGACCCTCAGACCGAGCCTTCTTTAACATCATGGCTTGATGAACTGGAACTGTTCTGCTGAGAGGACTTGCTTGCAGGAACTTTGTTTGGGCCTGTAATTAAGGTGAGAGCAGAGACTTTGGCTCCACCTGCCCGCCATGTGGCAAAGCCAGAGTAAATAACCCTGCTGAAGGAAAAGGAAACGAAGCGTGACCTTCGTGCTGCCCTAAATGACTTTTCCCTCGTCCTAACTGGCCACAAGGGCTGTCCCCACATTGCCTCTTGCTCCCTGCCTCAGCTACACGGCCAACTGCCCAGATCATTTAGGAGGCCACACTGAGCCCACCAAGGCAGCCCGGAATCCTTGCGAACTTGGCCGCTGCATTACCTGTGCTAGACTCAATGGAGTCTCTCCCAACGTTGTGACCAAGGAGGTCATACTGATTGAGGCGGGACCCTCCTTCAGCCACCTCCACCTTTCCCAGAGTCCAGGTGTAGATCACCTCTGTCTTGGTGTAGGCATCTGTGGAGGACAGAGGGAGAGCAGGAGCAGGAGCGATGCTCTAGCAACCCGGTGGGAAACAGGGAAGAAACGGGGTGTGGCAGCTGCCTGCAGGCAGCCCCCCCAGATGTCCAGGAGGACGTGGCCTCCTGTGGAAAGCCCCTTTGCCACGCGTGGTTTGAGAGGGAGGCGGAGGAGATGTCCCCGGTGTGCTCCACGCTGTGCAGGCCATCACTGGGACTGTGGGCTGCAGCGGCGCCCTCTCCTCGGCACCCCTTTGCCCATGTGACACTGGGGCCACAGCCCAAGCGGAGCTCCCTCTGTGCCAGACTTCTTCCAGTCAATAGCCAAGCCCCCTGGAGCTTTCCTGGTGGGGAGGCCTAGGACTCTTTCCTCAGGGCTCCCCTGAAGCACCTGCTGGGGAGGAAAGATCCCCCTGGGGCTGTTCGCTCCGGGGCCGCTTGCTGCCTCTGGAAAGGCTAGCCCCAAGGAAGCCGCCGGGGCCACCATGGCAAGGGTGAGTTGCAGGACCCACCGTGGAGGGAGGAGGCCTCTTGCCAGATGTGGCCAAGCAGGAGGGCCACCTCCACCTCTGGACTGGCGGCAGCAGGGGGTGGGCAAGCTCAGGGGGCTCCAGTGTGGCACAGGATTAGATTACAGCATCCACAGCACAAGCAAAGGCAACCCTTTCCAGAGTGCATTTTCGGCCCGCCTTTCTTCAAAACTGTCCAGCTGCCATTTATTCGCAGTGTTTGAGGGGAGCCCGGTGAAGCCTGCCCAGCTAAGGAAAGCCACGTTCATAGCGTGTTTTACTGTATCACACTATATATTGAACTGCAACTAACTTTGCACTAATTGCGTGACAGCCATACTAGAGGAGGAGGAGCTGCAGTACAGGTTGAAAAAAAGGATAACGTTTTGAGACTACTGTGTTCAACAACGGATCTTCAACAGATTTTTTGAGCATGAAGAAGTGCATCAGGGAGGAAAAAAATATGGGAGTTAAAATGGATGAAAATAATAAAATCTTGAGCTGAAAGGGACCTTGGGGATCATCTAGTCCAAATTTCAGGGTCATCTAGACTGTGGGGCCCAGCAACTTGGGAAATGGTGATTATGAGTCATTTGTTCCATTCCATTCCAATGCCACCAAATAACTGAAGCATTCTGGGCAGTTCACAACAGTTTATGCAAAAAAACGAAGTGTGCACCTACAGAAAAATAGCATTAAAATCAAAGGCAGAATTTAAGATAGAAAGTAAAGCCCTCTGAATACTCCACGCACATTCAAGAGACTAGGCCTGCAAGAGATCCTTGCCTACCCGGACACGAGTCCTCCACAGGTCATTCATAGCTATTAAATGCCTCGGCAGGCTTGCCCAGGCGCTGAAAGGATGCAAGCGTGGGCATTCTGCCAGCACAGCTCAGAGGCCTTGGCTGACCAGACTGGTGGGCCGCTGAGAACCAAGAAAGCTGCCTTTGGATTCTGCCGACAGCAAAGTACTTACAGCTCCCAAACTTCAGTGGACAGGCATGCACATCCATCGGGAAATCCTCCAGGTGCATGGGGCACTCGGCATGGATGGTCAGTCTGCAAGACATTGTGGACAGTTGGCGTCATTAGGTGTGGACACCTCAGGAAGAATCCATGGCTGACCTGCTTCTGCCACTCCTAGCAACGGTTGCACCGGTAATTTGGTTTGCCAGCCAAACTGAAATGCCCCAAGAGCGACACAGAGCCCTGTAGCTTGAGCTTTTCCACTGATTGCTCTCACTGGGGTCCCAGGCCTTGCTGCTGTGCATGGATGCCTGTCCACAAGATATCATGTTTCATGTGGCATCATGAGTGGCACACGTTTAAAACAGTGTTTTCCCATGTGTGCCTGGTTTTCTTAAGAGTTCCAGGCATTGCAGACCAGTAGTCATGGTGGCATTTTTTCATTTAATTTTATACTGCCCAAAATGCAAAACTCTGGGTGGTTTACAGCCCTTCCCAACCATGACCATGATGTAAAACCAGCCATTAAAATCCCTGCAACACAGAATTTAGGAAAATCAGAAGCGGTTTCCTTAGATCCCGCACAATGACTCCTGCACGGAAGCTTTCCAGTGGCCTTCGCAGCTTCCCGAGGCAGAGACACAAGCAGAGCCAAGCCCAGGAGAGACACTGACGCGGGGTCACTGGCCTGGCTGCTCGGTCAGGTAGACAGGAAACCTGCTAGAAAGAGCTTGGGGCATTGGTGGGCTCTTTTAGACGTGCAGACTTCTAGCACCTCATTCGAGGAAGCCATGAGGGCTGGGTAAGCAACAGGAGGTTATGGGCTGGGAAAGGGAGAAACCCTTCCTACCTCATGGTGTAGAGGAGGGTGCCGTTGTCTACTAGCCGGAGCAGTTTGTTGGGCGTGGTCATGTTGTGCGCTACTGATTTCTTGCCATTGTGGAAGAAGGTGTCTGGGGTCCAAATCTTGCTGGCCAACAGGTTGTTCAGCGGGAGTATCTTCATTGGACCATCAAACTTAAGCCTCTCATCTCTCCAGGACTGCCGGAAAAACACATCAATGGTGTACTCCTGCCAGAAAAGAGGCTGGTTAGATTTTAAATATTTCCATGGTAGATGAGTTGCTACTTTCACAGAAATAGGCCAACTGACCTTATAAAAAGAGAACTGGGTTTCTCAGGACTTTACACCTTAAACAGCCTTGGCAATGCCTTAGGAAGACCCCAGACTGTGCCACAGAGCTCCTTTGTTCCCCCCGCGGGTGGCAGTGGGGCCCCTCTTGTGCCTTTCAGCCAGAACACGGCGAGCTGCGGGAGGGAGGGGAGAGGCCAGCCCCCCATGCCTTGGCCGAGCTTAGAATGCCCATGGGCAGAGCAGGGAAACGCCTGGCAGGGTGCTGAGGAGGCCCCGGGTCTGGCGGGGCAGCCAGCTTGCGCACTGTGTCTGAATTAGGCACGGCTGGCCCTCGCTGGCCGGCGCTTCAGCTCCCGTTCCATGCTATCAAGCTAACAATCACCGCCTTCATTTCCACACCACCCCATAACCAAAGGTCTCTGGATACTTCACAACTGCATAAAAACAAAACAATAAAATGCAATACAAGTACCATAAAATCAAAGCAGCATTCAAGTGAATGTAAAACAACTCAGACATACAGCAGAATGACCTTGTACAAGGAAAATCATCTAGGAGGGGCTAGCCCCTCAAACTCTAGTAAGCCAAGTAAAATATTCAAAAGTCTCGGGTTCTTTCAGTCTGGGGACACCTTGGCCATAGTGGGGAAGTGGCTCCATAGATGGGGAGCCACCTCAGAGGAAGGCCACCCCTTGCGGCCGCCCACCCTCGGAGCAGGCGCTAAGAGGAAGGCCACAGAGGTCAAGCATGAGGTCCAGGCCGGTGGGGAGTGCGGGGTCCTGAAGTCCCTTGGGGCCTTGGGACAGATGGAATCTCGCACACGTGGCTGCTAAAGGGGCAGTGATGCTTGGAGGGGGCCCGATACAGAACAGGCTGCCCCCGAGGCCAAGGGGTTCACCTGGCAGGCCATCACATCTGTCAAGCAGAGGCACTTGGCAAGCAGCGACAAGGCCCCCGCAGCAAGCAGGGGGTTGCTCTGGGCTGCTCCCTCCTCCGCTGTGCGCGGATTCTTGTGGACCTGCGCTTTCCTCTCCCCCCCGACCTCCAGGAAGGAAGGAAGCAGCTCGCCCAGACAGGCGTAGCCTTCTCCTCACTTCTGCGGCTGGGATGCCACACTCCAGGCATTGCCAAAGCCCGTGGGCACCAGAACGGCCCCCTCAGCAGCTCACGCACCACCCCATCTCTTTCAGCCAAGCCAAGGAGGTGAGCCCCGCTTTCCACATTCTGCCTCTCCTCCCAGTTTTGAGTCTTTCTTTCCTTTGACCTCCCCACCATGCCCCCCCACCCCAGATTCCGGCCCTGATATGATTAGGCCTGGCAGCTGCTGCTCCCTCGCTTCTGATCTGCCCCTGGCTCTCTGCTGACAGCATTTCCTTTTGGTTAATCGCCGGCTCTTCCCTTTCTCCTGCCTCAGCAATGTCCTAGCCTGCTTGTGAGCAGAAGGACCCCCGTCTGTGAGCGGCATTCCGTAACCCTGCGGGCAGACCTCCGCTGCAGGCTTGGACAGCTTTCCACAGCCAGGCTCCCTTCTCCAGGCCCTGACTACGGGGGAGGGCAGTGGCAGGCGAGCTGCCGGGGGTCTCCCGATGGCGGATCTCTGCAGCAGCGCTCTGGGGATCAGCATGACAGCTGAAGCCACGCAAGATGCTACGGAGATCCTCTCCGCATGGGAGACCCTTTGGAGGACCGTTCCGGTCCTGTCTCCTCTGCAGTGGGGTGGCGGAGGCAGGGCTCTCGGCACCTGGACGCTTTGGACAGAAGGGCTGAAGGCCTCCTCTGCCCACCCCGTCCGAGCAGTCTCAGAATCCGCTGCTCCCGCTTAGCTCAGCTGCAATCTCCACACTGGCTGGGGGGGGGGGGCAAGGGGAGTTCCTCAAAAGCAGTGTATTTTCATGAGCCGTTCCCGCTGCACAATGCAAAGTACTGGGGCAGCTTTTGCGTATATCAGTAACTGACCGATTTAGCCTGACAAAACTCGCTGCCGGAGCAGTTGAACATTGCTAAAACGGGCCTGCTGGCTCTTTGGCATTAGCATGTTTTTCCCTAGCCCTGGGAAGCTGCACTCCTGAAACATCCCTCCCTCCACGCACGAATGGGCACCCCAGCTGCTTGCAATCTCTGCCTCTCACTGGGCAGAGCAGCAGGGGCTGCGGGAGGGTCACTCCCATGCCGCGCGTTTTCTGCAGCACTGGCGGGGTCGGGGCCTGACCTTCCCAAGACCCTGTTTCAGGGACCTGGACAAGGGGACCTGTGGGTCACAGCTCTGGGGCTACAGCAACGTCTCCTTTCCAGCTGTAAGGAACAAAGCCCCCGGGAAGCCAGAGGGCCCGAGCAGCAGCCGCCAGTGCCAGCGAGACCTCCTCCTCTGAGTGCTCCTTTCCTCCCTGGCCAGCTCCATGCACCCGTCAGCTGAAAGGGAGGGCTGACGAGCGGTGTGCGGACCTTTTCAAGTCCCCACTCCAAAAATGATTTGTGCTGAGCACTGGAAGCCCAACAATAAGTGCAGGTGAACCCCCCCCCCCCCGCAGCAGTTGCCATGGTAACAGTGCTGTGGGTGATTACTGCTGAGGAGGCTGGAAAAATGGACACGGCCAGCCCTGGGCAGCTGCTGGGTCCCCTCTCTTTCCATCTCCTCTCCACAGCAAAGGGCTGCTGGCACCAACTGGAAGGGCTGGGCACCAGCACCGAATCTGCCCCATCAGGTGGCTGGGTCGAAAGGGCTGGGGCTGGCCACAGATCTGCTGCTGGCCTGGCCTCCTGTCCCAGGGCTCTGCCAGTCCACTGGATGAGCCGGCAGCCTGCCAGCGCCTCCACAACACCCTGGACCCTGGTGAGGGCTCGCTACTGCCATTTGCTCCCAAGGGTCCCAGCTCAAGAGGACCAGAAGGGGACTCTGCAAGGGCTCTGAAGGAGCAGGCAAGGGGCAACCACCGCCTGGGCAGCAGGCAGGTGTGTGTGTCTGTGTGTGGCGGGGGGGGGGGGCACGTCCTTGGCCTCTTCTCCCTCAGTCAGGGGCCTCCAAGGCAATGCTGACTCAGGTGTTCTGCAGGGATGAATGGCCCAGAAAGAAGGCCGACAGCCCAACACACGCGTGTGCTTCCTTCTTTGTCTGGCCTACTCCTGTTCCACACATTTTGTAAAATCACACAGCAGAGAAGGCCTCCCATTTCTCCTTTCTTCACAGTTCATTATACATGCTCCCTTAATCAAATATGCTCCACCTTAGAAGTAATTATGAGATACTCCCTGAGGGCTGGATGATTGAATATATTAAGTTGCATGACAGCAAGCAAGAAAAGCCAGACAATATTAAGAGCGGCAGCTCAAGTGACGTTCCTCTCTCTAGCGTCTCCCCCTGCAAAGCGGAGCAGCTCTTCTGCGGTGAAAGTGGCTCCGTGAAAGGGAGCATTCCCAAATGGGATCCGAAGAAACATTCCCCGTGCCACTCATTCTCAGTTTAGCCCCACCATCTGGAGGAGTCGAGCTTCCTATGCCTGGATGGTCCCATCCTAGTCTTTAGCTGTGGGGGAAGTGGTGGGCAGCCTGGGGGGACCCCACAAGACACTCCCTGCTGCAGCTTCACCAAGCTCAGTGGACCAGGGCCTTGCACCGGTTCCGCTGTGGAAGATGCGTCCAGCCACCCTGGGCTGCAGGGAATGTGCAGATTGGTAATTCACAAGGTGGACTTCAGGGCTGTTTTAATTAGGGCCTTGACTCAGTCCTTGTGGCTTTCGTGAACCATTTCCCCAAAACTTCTCTGCGGGTTTCCCTTTCCCAATTTTTTTCACACGGGAGATTTAAAGGCTCTTTTTCCTTCTTTGCAGCAAAAAGAACCCTTTCCATCAATCTTCTCCAACGAAGCCCTCCGGATGTTTAGAACAACAACTCCCATTACCCCAGATGATGGTCAGGGATGATGATGGCCAGAGGTGCAGTCCAAAATGGGGCAGGCTCATCCTGCCAGTTCCTTGGTCCCGTTTCTGGAAGGCAGCAGCTGGGGCCAGGACAGGATGGCCATGCAGGGGGCGGGGGAGGGTCCAGCCCCCAAGGTGGGAGGCCTCTGACATCACAGGCTGGGCTCCTGTCCTTTTAGTCTCACAGATGTTCCGTGCCTGCCCAGCCCAGATGAGTTGTGGCATCCTTCCCGCCAAGCTTTCCCTCTTTTGTCCTCCACAGAAGCCCTGAAGGAAGGGGTGCCGTGCAAACGCTCTTCTCCCGGGAGGCTTGCTTCCCAGGCACTCCAGGCAAGCCACAAACAGTCACGTCTTCTGAGAAGTGTCGCATGTCTCCAGGTCTCTCACTCGGAAGGGAGCAGCCAGGGAACATGCACGCAGCATCAGGCTCCCGCAGCTCCTGGTCACGATGGCTATTTGAGAGTCAGCGCAGCGAAGCCGGTAGAGAACTGGCCGGGGACTTTTCAAGTCCTCACTCAGCCGTGAAGTTCGCTGGGAGACTCTGGGCCAGACACAGGCCCACAGCTGTTGCTGTGAGGATAGCACGGAGCTATATAAGCCACCCTGGGTTCTTTGCAAGGGGAGGGAAGATGGGCTGCAAGAGTGGAATGGAATGGAATGGAATGGAATGGAATGGAATGGAATGGAATGGAATGGAATGGAATGGAATGGAACTACTATAATAAATTAACATTTATTATAGTGGATATCAAAAGTGGCCTTTCTATACCAGCTTCTGTGGAACGCAAGTGGGCAGGTTGAGGCCTTCTCGTGCGAGGCGTCTGGCCGGCCACAGCGCACCGTGTTTCCTCTGAACCAGCCTGTCGCACAAGGAAGCTTTTTTCTCTCCTGCTTTTAACGTCCTGCTCCTCAGGAAGGAAGTGTTGCCTGCACCCCCCCCCCACGCCACAGTCCTCTTCAAAGAGCAGCACCTACCATGTCTGTGTCTGAAACAGGACCGAAGCTTGTCACATAAATGTTTGTCTTGACTTCTGTCACAGTATCTACGGAAAGCAAGAAAAGCGTGTTCTTAGGGCAATTCGCATTTGCAGGGCTCATGCTGTCCTTACTGTCCTTTTCTCTGAAACCTCTGTGCCGACTGCTTCCCCAGATTACGGCTCAATGGCTCAGCCACATAGGCCACAGCGTGGCCAATTTCATAAATGAAAGGTGGAGCTAGTGGGACTCCCTGCGCTAACCAAAAACTAGGGTCTACTCTCTTGGGGCCATTTTTTTACCCCAGACAAAAGTACCTCAGGCAAGGAAAAGTCTGTTCTGGCTGAAAATTTCCTGCAAGAGGTTTCAGTTAGCACAAGAATGGCTTATCGGCAAGTTCAGATAATTTAAGGTTTAATTCTTCTTGAAACTACACAAAACAAGAAAATCTCCATAACAATGCTAGGACTAGTGACATGTTCTCTAAATAAGTGGTTTGGCATACTAACTTTAAAAAGGCATATCAGAGCTTTCCTTTAATGGATTTTAATTCTGCTTGCTAAGAATCTTAAAAAAAAAAGATTGATGTGACCTGTTCTGAACCTTCTGTTGTTACTTTGGGGGGTACTGTTTGGGGCATAAAAGTACCCCATACAATTACTCCAGTGGAGATTTTGGTGCACTCTTGTACTCTGTGCATGTTCTGGTCTATAGGGGGGAAAAAATAGGAAAGGCAGGTGGCTGAAATTTTGGTAAATTTTAGATAAGACTCTTTGTACAATGTCCAAGAAAGACAAATCGATAGACTACTTATGTCCATTCTGATAAGCAAATTAGCAAAAGTGGACTAGATAGAAAAACTATTAGCTGGATCCAAAACTGGCTGTTAAATTGGGACACAAAGAGTGCTCATCAATGGCACCTTCTCAAACTGGAGCAAGGTAACTAGTGGGGTGTCCCAGGGTTCAGTCCTAGGCCCAGTGCTCTTTAACATCTTTATAAAAGATTTAGATCAAATTTGCAGATGATAAAAAAGTGTGTGGCATAGCAAACACTCTAGAAGATGGAATGAAGATCCAGAATGATTTTAGTAAAGTTGACTGCTGGGCTGAAAACAATAGAATGAGATTCAGGAGGGGTAAGTACCAAGTCCTCCGCCTAGGAAAAAGAAACCAAATGCACTGACACAAGATGGGGCGCATGTGGCTCAGCAGAACTGTTTCCGTTTCTCTGTTTCTTTGCAACAGGCTTGCAAGCCCTGCTTCTCGGGAGCACAGGGCCAAGGCTGGAGAAGGGTCCCCAAGGCGGCCCCCAAGGCAACAGATCCCAGGTGCCCCTTTCTCTGTGCAGAGATAAAGTCTTTGCAGGGGAGGGGGAGGGGGGGGCGACTGCTGCACAGTAGAAGGCAAACGTGTCTCTGCTTCCGTGTGCAATCCACAGTGCCAAATTGTCCTTCCTCCTAAATAGTTCCTCATGAGACCACACCAGGGCCTTTCTTTGCTTTTCAGCATCTCGCTCTCGCGAGTCACTGCGTTGCCATGACAGCACTGCCAGGCCATAAGCAAGGAGTCTGGCTCTTTGAAGCCAGCCAAGCTAGCGGGTAGCCACACAGCCATTTTCCTGGAACTGGAGGAAGGGGCCTGGAGTGGGTCGGATGTGCAGGAGGAGAGGATGCCATGGCTACACCCTCAACCGTGGACACCGGTGAGCAGGCCATCCACGCAGGCAGCCCATTCCCTCTCTCCCGCTTCTCTGTGCCTGCCCAAAAGGGCCGTGGCTCTTCCCAGGAGGGGCACGCTGGACATTCAGCATCCCATGGTGCCTGTCGCATCCCAGGCTCGGGCACCGGCAAACACAGCCTGGAAATTCCCTGCGAGGCACCGGGGACCCACATGCTTGTCTTCCTTACTTGCCCATCTCTCTCTTGCATTGCCTGAGCCTTCCAGGTCATTTCAGCATAGAAAAGGGCATTGTTTCAGGCTGGCCACATGCAAATGTCAAGCCTTAGTTGCTATGCAGGCAGTTTCTGCCCGGTTCCCTCCTAGATCAAGAGGAGAAATGCCCAGCCCAGGGCTCTAGAGGCACGCTCTGCTGCAGATGCTCTTTGCCAGTGGTGCCAGCTCCCCCTGAGGCCCCAACGGTCTGCTGGGACCCCTCCAGGGCCATGGAGCCCAACCTCCCTCCTGCAGAGAAGAGGGCTGCCTTTCAGTTTCAGGCTGCCAGAGGGAGGTGTCCTCGCTACAGGAGTGCCATTCGGAAGTGCACTGGCAACCCCCTTGTTCTTACTGGGGAGGGGGCAGGGAGGAGAGGACCAGCAGGCCTGCCTCTCATGGCATGCCAACATCATCGAGCAGCCCTGTGGGGGCAAGCACTCCGCTGCTGCATGGGGGAAGCCCAGTCTTGCAGTCTGACCGACGGGGTAGTTCTGCTCCCACTACACTCAAGGCTACCGAAGCCCCTTCGCCCCAGCTGCTATCCTCTGGGTGCAACAGGCAGGGCGACGCACGTGCTGTGGAGATTCTGGGAGGCAGCACATGCACCTGGCCCGTTCTGCAGCACCCCGAGGGGAAGGGGTGCTTGCTCCCCAGGACAGGGGCGGACTGCAGCGCAGCCCTTGGTGTATCATTCGTGTCCTGCCACTCCAGGCTATCAGTGCAGAACAGGAAGGGGAAAGGGCCGCAGGCTTAAGCAGCTGGGATGTGGAGCTGCTCACAGGCTCCATCCGATCGTCCACCTATCCAAATGCAGAGGGGCTGCGCCACGGATTCATTGCAGCCCAGCAAAGGGATGCTGGCCCCATACAGGGAGGGGCAGCGGGGACAGGCAATGCTTCTTTGGCTCAGAAGAGCTTGATCACCTCTGACCCACAGTTCACAAATGATCCTATTCAACCTCCACCAAAATGTCGCCAGTATGGCACAAAAGATACCTGGAGCACAGCTGCCAGGCAGCCACTGTGGGGCTGCTGTTGATTCCGATGCAAGTACACACCAGTTTACAGTGTGAGTGTATGCAAACAGCTTGGGGGAAGGCAGAAGTTGTAAAGGCTCTTGGTGGTCCTTTTGCCCCAACTGAGTGAAGGAGGGAAGAAAGGGATGCACACAGGCCTCACTCCGTCCTGACTGAAGAGCTTCCTCCAATCACAGAATCACAGAGCCACCGAATGGTGGAGCTGGGAATGGCTAGAGAGCTGTGGGGTCCAACCTCTGCTCAGTGCAGGACACCAAGCTAAACCGTCCCATTCCAGCTGCCTCTTGAATGCCTCCAGTATAGGACAGCCCACAACCTCCCTGGCTCATGCGTTCCATTCTCCTGCGGCTCTAACTGTTGGGACATTCTTCCTGACAGATAGCCGGAATCTGGCTAGTGGAAGTTGGATGCCAGCACTCAAGAAGGCAGCTCAGCCATTACATGCCTTGTATTCTGCCAGCTACTGCAGCCTTCTGGTCCACAGTTGCTGAGTCTGGAGGAAGAAGGAACATGCACCTTCCTGAGCAAGGTAGCAAGAACAGCAGCCTTGCCTGCCTGCATCACCGTCTTGAACTTCGCTTGCTGAAAAGCCAGCAAACTCAGCTCCTCGCTCTTCTTTCCTTCCCCAGCCCAGTCAGGGACTCTGTGGTGAGAGAAAGAAAGCACTGGGGTGGAGGTGCCTGCAGGAGCTGAGCAGGATGCTTGGAGCAGCCTGGACTGGACGATCTTACTGGGCAGACCTCAAGCGCTCTGCTGGAGCGGATCCCAGGAAAACGCCATTCCTTCGCCAGAGGCTGGTTCTGAGGCTGAGCTGCTTCGGCTCAGGGGAAGGAAGCCCCTTCCATGCAAGGAGGCCTGAGGGTGCCTTGAAGGGGAAAGCAGCTCCCCTTGGATGCTACAGAAGGGCATGGAAGCAAATGCTCAGGCACAACCAAAAGCAACAGACTCACCTCCCAGGCCGGGCCGCAGCCGGTTATCATAGCCATCCAGCAGCCGATCCAGGATGCGTGTGAAGATGGTGATGTTGTCCTTGTTGTCGTCATCAATGATATCTGGGCCGTGCTTCTGCGCAAGGCTGGAACATCAAGAGAAAGCAGGTGCAGTCGGGGTTGTGCCTCTACCATGGCGGCGCACTGACAGCCGCTTGAGGTAAAATTCCAGTCTTCTGCAAGGGCCCTTTTCTTCAGAACTGCCGGCCTGTCGCACATTTTTTACGGGGACTCTCCACCACACTGCTGCCAGAATATGCTATCCAGCAGGCTCTGCTCCCAGTGTTAGTTCCCCCACCAGGCCTAATTCACAGCTAACTTGCTTGCGAGAAATTGCAACTGCATCTTAGTCAATATGGAGAGGCAGGGCACCGGAGGCTCTCAAGGGCGACTGCTGTGTTCATCAAGCGCTCCGTCTTTGCAGGCTCTGGCCTTTTTACTGCATCCTGCTCAGAGCAGCTCAGAGTTTTGATTAATTGCCCTTTGTCCTCCTGCCTACTCATGTTAAATTACTGGGTGGCACTGCATCTCCTTGTGCCTGGAACATCAAGATCACAGTCTGGGATTCTGCTATGGAAAGGAAGGGAAATGAAGAGAAGCAGCCACTGCCAGAGGAGAATTCATTGCTGCTGCCAAGCCTTCCTCAGCTCGGGAGAGGTGAGCAGGAGCGGCTTCCTGTAAAAGTGCTGATGTGACGGTGGTTGTCGCAGTCGTGGTGGGAACAGTGCTAATGCAGGCTGGCCCTCGTGGATGGCGGGCCCATTCCAAGGGTCCCGGGCAGAAGAGGAAGGCAAGCGTGCCTGGCTCGGGCTGTGAGTTTCTCATGGCAGAGGAAGAGCGCATGGCCCTGCTTGCCAGAGCAGGGGGCTTTCAGAGGAGGCCTGCATTGTCCAGCTGTTGCTTCACCAAACTCACAGAATTTCATGCATGGGGCAGGGGGATTCAGATGACGGCTTCTTTTTTCCGTCACTGCATCTTTTTCTTTCCCCAGAAGCCCCCAAAGGAGGGAGAGGCGGGATGGATGCCCCATGGCTCCTCACAGCTAGCACAAGGAGTCCTTCCACTGGACACAGCCAGAAGCAAGGGCTGGTTGCCCTGTGGCCTAGCGGGGGCCCCATCCTCCTGTCCTGCACCTTCTCCTGCTTGCCCTCTCCCTGCGGCCCATCCCAGATACCAGATTCTGGCTTTCTTGCCATGATGCCTGCCAGAGGTGGGGATGGCAGTGGGGACAGGCTTATGTCTTCACTGCTCTCTGAGAAGCACGTGTGTGCCTCTTCAGTGTGTTAAAGGGGTCTCATTGCACAAACCTCTCCCACAGAGTCTTAAAGCCATATTCCAAACCAGACGGGATAGAACTTGCCCCCTGGATGACCCTCACCCACTGTGGCAGGCAGGCCAGGCAAAGAGCAGCAGGAGCAGGGACGGCCGCCACAGCCAGCACAGGATCACGATCCAGTGCGGCTTGTGCTGGGCCGGTGCCGCCTTATTATTTCAGCCCCCTTTCATCTACATTCCCGGAGAAAGGTGAGAAAGCAGCAGCCCCAGACAGGAATCCAGTCGCAGTGCCACGCCTGCCCCGCAGCAGTCCTCCTGCCGTCGCCACAGAGGCCTCAGCAAGAACACGGCTGCGGACAAGGGGAAGCTCGCTCTAGTGGCAGCCCCTTCCAGGCCCGTTGGCAGGGGATCGGCAAAAGGAAAGAGCGCTGCTGCACCCACATCCTCTTTGCAGACCTCCCACTGGGAACGAGCCTCGCAAGAAGCACTGCTGGCTCCAGTCGTGCAGCTCCATGTTCAGGGGCAGTCTGAGGTGTCCGGGGGTGCCAGCTGCCCCAAAGGTAAGCGGCAGAGGGCAACGGCCACCACTGTCCGGCCTGTTTCTGGGCTTCCTGCAGGCCCCTGGCAGGCCACAGCTGGACAGTGGAGCTTGGCCTAGCCAGGCCATGAGTATGGTAGCTGCAAGTTATGGAGCCATTCTTCCTGTGAGCAGATCAAGAAATGGCTCATTCTAAAAACCAATTTCTAGCTACTCTGGGCTATGCTTGGCCCAGCACTCCTGAAAAGAAAACTCCGAGCAACCCCTCAGGCGTAAGAGGAAGCTGCTGCCCTCCGCTTGGCTCAAGCAGAACTCAAAGAGGGAGCCAGACAGAGAACTTGGCCCCGTGCAGAAACCCCCGGAGCCTGAAGCGAAGGGCTGCTCGCGGGCACAGCCGTTCCCCACCCTCATGGCTGCTGCCTGCCATGCGCCGGAGCCGCTCCACGTTCCCAGCAGGCCAGGCATCTACAACAGCCCCCAGTGGCGCTGGGGGCTTGGATGAGCACCGCACCCACCGGCCTGGGAGAGCTGTGCTGCCTCGCGGAACGCTGTGGCGAATGGCTTGGTGGTGGCTTCAAGGGCTACCTGGAGAGTGGCTGTGTTGGGCTGCCGAATAAATGGGTCAGGGTCGTACTGGGGTTCTTCCCTGTGCAGAAGAGAAGGAAGCAAGTCCTAGTGGGACAGGAGGAGGCACATGACCAGGAGTTACTGCAGCCCTTGCAGCCTCCCTCGCTGCCCGTGAGTGGCAGGTACAGGTCAGGCTGAGGCGGGGAGAAGAAATGGCCCACCCGACTACTCAGTGTGTTGACTCTCCCCCACTTGTGTTGCAGAGCACAGGCGTGGCCCCCCAGCCCGTGGGGCCTTACCCTTCTGCAGGGAGAACATAATGCATGAGCACAATTCCAAGGCTGGCAGTACAGAGAGGAAGCTGTGCCCAGGCCCTCCACAAGGCCATCACTCCAGGATGCAGCAGTAGCCAGTAGACTGTCCACACCTGTCAGAGAGGAAGAGAAAGGGGGGCTGTCACGTGGGCTGGCAAAAAGGGTGCTTCCTTTGCCCTGATGGCTTTGCACTGGGCGCAGCCCCGCTTGCGGTGTGGGCCTTGGGCTGTCTGGACCACCAAAGCCTGCAGAACATCACGTGCCGAGGAAGCCACGCTAGGCATCCGCTGGGCACGCTGTTTCCACTGTGCCCTCTTGGGGCAGAGCCACACGGACCGCTGGAGAACTGGCAGCAGGACCTTGCTTCCGGCTGGCCAAGAAAAGAAGAGGACCGTTGCCTCAGCTCAGTCTCCGTGAGGCCACCTCAGCTGCTCGCACATGCACCAGTCCACCACTGGGCTGACCCATGGTACCCTGCAAGCGTGTCCTTTCCAGCGGGACCCTCTCCACAGGCGCAAGAACTGCGGAGTCTGAATGTTCGCCAGGTTTCCACCAAGGCATACTTTTTCTGCTTCTCTGAACCCTAACCAACCTGCCCTTTCTAGGGCAAATTAATTAATTATCCCATTAAAGAAGCCCAAGCCCTTGTCCCATCCAGACCATGATATCATGGCACAGTCCAGTGCTGAGGCCCAGAGGGAACCCGTGACAAGGGGGCATTCCTGCAGTGGGGGTGAGGGTGCGCTCCAGCCATTCGCCCCCTGGCAAACCCCACCAGGTGTGCTTCCTGGGGGGCTCTGCAACTTTTCAAGGGCTGAATTCTGTTTCTGAGTAGTGAGTCATGAGCAAAGGCAAGTAGACAAGGCCCCAAGTACCAGCACATCTGGCTGAAAGCTCTGACCACTGGCTAGGGTGGGAGGGGAAGCGGCACAAAAGCCCGGAAACACTGGTGGACTGGGGAAAGGTGTGGGGCCAGCGAAGGAGAGGGAATCTTTTAGGCCCCGCTTGACCTATGGATCTGAGGCTCTGCCTCTGCACTGCCCCAGCCTTCAAGTTTATGCCGCAGGGTGCTCCCCTGCTCAGCGACAACGGAGGGCTACTGTGCGCTGTGGAGATGAGTGCCAATCGCCTGTCCTTGGTGCCCTGGACACCAGAAAGAAAGATGTAGGGCCATAACAGAAGATGAGAACAGTTCAGTTTGGAGAGAGAGGGTGGGACTCGGGCGGGCTTTATTTGTTTTGCTAGATAATATCCAGTCGCTTAGGAGGCCACAATTCACATTGTGCTGGAAGTCGGTCCTGCTATTGGGTGGTGCCCGTTCATAGGTGCAGCTCTGAACTTAGACTGCTTTTCCTCCCCCAGCCATTATGGGTGAAAGCCCGCTAAAAGCCATCGCTGCATGGCTCCTGCCATTTGCACCTATGGCGCCCCCTGAGGAGGGGCAAGCAGCGGGGGGGGGGGGCAGGCTATGCCTCTGTTCCTCAGCCAGCTCATCCCCCCAGCCTCACATTCTGTGGACGGCCCATCAACTCTCCCCCTAATGGCTGAAGGTGGCACTGCACACTGCAAACGGACCGGTCTCTTTAAATTAACGTAGATTAATTATCGAATTTTTAAAATCACTCTCCAATAAAATCATCGCCAACCTCTAATAACCCCAAGGAACATATCCATGGTATTCCCTTGGTATACATGTCAAACATTTACTCTGTCGTTAGCATCCCTTGCTGTATGTCCCTAGTCTGTTGAAGGGTGGGGTGTACAAAAGGCGAAGCGGGAGTCACTAGTGGTTTCCCCTGCGAGTGATTTTGCACTGTGAGGTAGCACTGAGAGCTTCGGCATTTGTGGAAATGGTGAGCCCCAAAATGAAGAATGCAGCTTAGGAAAATGCTGCTAATGCTTTCAAACAGGGCTAGGCAGCGGAAAGCATTCCTGAGTGGGCCATCTTTTTTCCACAACATCTGGAAGCCCTTGTGAGAAAATTGTGCCTGTGTCATCTTTTCACAGCCCACAAGCCTCCTGCTGCCTAGTCTATCTTTTTACCCTGCACTAGTCCTGCCATTTTGAGAATTGTCCTGGTGGGCCTTCCAGCCTCATGATGGCAGGCATCAGCTTTCGAGCGCAAGAGCTGGCTCAGGGCCTGCTGGCTGCCTTGCTATCTCTGTCCCAACTCCCCTGGCAGGACATGACTTCCAGGGGATGCTTCTACCTGGAGTGACCTAAGTAGGCTTTTACACATGTGGTAGTTAGTCTCAATGCCCACCTAACTGTGGCAAGCAGAGTTTCACTGGATCAGGAAGCCAGCTGCAAGGTCACCAGATAAACATTATGACAAGATAATAAATGATTCTATCATTTCTTTGGGATAACATTAGCCCCTGACTCTCTCTCTCTCATTCTCTCTCTCTCTCTCTCTCTCTCTCTCTCTCTCTGTGTACGTACGCGTGCATGCACGCACACACACACGGGAGAAAAAAAGATTGAGAGTGAGGGAGACGCTGTTTGTAATATACAGCCAGGCACTATGCTGAGACAGGCTGTGGTCTTGTGTTTAAGCTGCATTCGAATCCATGAATTGCTGCAGTCGAGTGTACGGGAGGCATTCTCTCGGCACTTGCTCATTCTCAGAGATTCCACTTTGCTTTGGCCTTGGACAAAATAGAACACAAAAGGGAGAGAGACACATAGATCCTGGGCCACCACCATGTCCTTAACATCTTGGAAATATGCCCATTTCTCTCTCTGTTAAGTGATGACCAAGCAATCCACACCATCCCTATATTTGGCATAACAGCCATGTGCTACCCATGCTCATGAGAATTCAAAAATGCCAGCAGTTGGTGGCATTTCTCACCTTTTGATGTCTCGCCTGATCACCCATGAACAGAAATGCAAACAGATCAGAATCGTGAGACTTAATTTTGCCTTGCAGCCAGCAAGGAGAGAATTCGTCCCACACAACACACACAGACGGAGCAGCCAAAGCGCACCTTGGCACCACACAGCCAAGCCATGCTGTAGGTATGAAGCGGCTCTGCCAGTGGAGCCATTTGCTGGCAATGTCAGTCCGACGAGGTGGCTGCTCCGCAACGCAACTTACATCAATGTGCCCTTTGCTCATTCAGGTGAGGGCATCAATTCCCAGACAAATCTCAGACCTGGCTCCACCACAAGCCCGAATCAAGCAAACCAGCAGAGGCAGCAGCCAATGCCTGACACTTTCTTGGCACTGCAGGCCAGCCTGCCATTCCAGCCCCTGCTGCCAGCTGGGCCACTCGCTGCCCCAGCACGCTAGACGGGCAGCTCCAACAGACACCTGCCCTGCTCACCCCGACGCTGGGCATGCCAAGCCCAGCAAAGTGCTGGGGCAACACCGGGGCCCGCTTATCCTGCCCCAGCCCTTTTGCCCGCCCGCCCCAAGCCTCCATTTCTGCACATGTTGCTCTTCCCTAGGAAAAGGTCTAGGGGCTCAAAGGCCACATCATGGACTAGCCCATGCAGAGGTGCCTCCAGTTGTAGCTTCCATGGCAAGTGGGACAGATGGAGGCTGCAGCAGTCAGACATGACACAAGCAGAGGCGAAGGGGCCCGGGCTGCCAGGTCCCTCACCCCACCTTCCCGAGTGCGCCTGTCGGTCCTGGACCCGGGCCAGCAGCTGTGCTCCCTCTGAAGGACTTCAGAGGAAGACGAAGTCCTTTGGCTGAGCCTGCTGTTCCAGCTCTGGCTTGGAGCTGGCATCTTCCCTGTGCCGCAGGGCTTATTCTAGGCCCAGCGAGGCAGCCACTGCAGACAGCAAGAGCTGAGCAACGGAGCTGTGTGCATCCTTCCGCCTCTCCTGCACTTGCCCTCTGTCCTCGGCCACTGACTCTCCCCACTCTCCACCCAACGGTGGGCTTTCGGACGTGCACTGAGGGAAATGCATTCTCTCTCCCCAGGCTGCTTTCAGCAATGTCACCCATGGGCCCAAGAGCAGCCTAATGCCTGAGAAAGGGGGGTTCACTTGATCAAGAGGCAGTGAACCTGAAGGACACCGCAGTCGCAATAGCAGCTCTAGTAGAAAAGTGGGCGTATTCAGCAGCTGGCATATTTACTACAGTGTCTCTGTCTGTGTGTATAATTATGCTAGGGATCCGTCTGTACAGTGAGCCACTTGTTGTAAACATTTGGCAGGAAGACACCCACAGAGAGGATGGGATGGGGAGACAAAACTGAGAAGAGGGATGAGAAATGCCGGAGAACAGCTCAGGGGGCATGCTGGATGCGTGCGTCTGTGTCAGAGAAAGCAGAAAGAGAAAGGCGCCAAAGGAAAAGATCTCTCTTTGTGTGTGCATGAATGAAGAGTGGAGGGGAAAGGAATTGGCTCTTTCTTTAGCCCCAAGGTTTTCTTTAAGAACTGATACAGATCAAGGAAAAGAAAATGCAGCCAACAGTGGGACAGCTCCAGGGAAGAAATGCATCAACAAGCAGTGCTGAGAGTGCTGGATGTGGGGAGGGCCCTCAGCACGGGGACTCCCCCAGCTGCTAAGAGCAGACTCTGGACAGTGCTGGAGCGGAGGGGCAGCTGCCCTGCGCTTGTCTGCAGACTCACCCCCATGTCTTGTGAGCATTCGCAGGAAGAAAAAAGGTGATCTCGTCCTCCGGACGCTTGGAAGGACTAGAAGCGACAAGAGCAGTGGGCACGGCCATCCCCTCGTGCTCTGCTAGCCAGTGCATGGCAGGGGCCCACGAAGAGCTGCAGGTGCTGGCACTGGTCAAGCAGACTTGCCCAGGCAAGAGACGAATCACTGCCCAGGCCTCCAGAGCCACCAGGACCCACCCCACCTCACTGCCGAAGCTGGGCAGGTGCTTCAGAAGCCCCATGGAAGAACATGGAGCTGCTGGAAGTGGCCCTCCTTCCCCCAAAGCCTTTCCAGGAGGGGCAGCAGGCTGGAGGAGGGGCTCCAGAAGCCCTGGCAGCTGCAGCCCAGCCCCCTCCAAGTCATCTCACCCCCGGCAATGGCAGCAGCCCATCGCAGGCCAGGCAGAGGGTGTCCCCGGCCCCTGCAAACCGGCACTGGGGGTATCACCTGGAAAAAGCCTGGCACGGAGAGCTTTGCCATCTCCAGCTTTGCAGCCCTGCTCCCTCAGCCTGCAGCACCCCATCTCAGGTCGCTGCTGGCCGCTCCCCACAGCCCCGCACCTGGCCCCATGGTGGGGTGGGACTGTCGCTGCCTGGGCTGCAGAGGCCAGCGAAGGCACACGGACGGAGGCAGCCGGCCTCTCCCAGGACGGTCGCTCAGCGTGGGGCCTTGCCTTCCCGTCCCTGGTCCTCAGGGTCTCAAGCCGCCACCCGGCGGCTGTCAGTCGTCGGAGCCCGTGAGCGAGCGCTCTTCAAGGCTGTGGCACTGCGTGGGGGCTCCCGGTGTCACACTGCCAGCCGCCGGCCAGGCATCTCGAGGCGAGGCTGGCTGAAAAGAGGGACGGGGCCGGGAAACGCGACCGATACCCCCCGCCCCCCCCCCCGCCGCCTTGCTCAAGTCGCTTGCTGGCGCTGCTCCGTCCGACCTGAGCGCCGACGGGCCGGCACAGCGCGCTCGCGGGCGCCTCGAGAGAAGAGGCCGGGCGGCTTGGCGGCGGGGTGGGGGCACGCGGGTCTTCGGCCCTCGCTGCAGAAGCGCCCCCGGCCGCCCTGGCCGCTCGGACGGCCAGCACCTCCCGGGGCCACGGGGGAGGGCGGCTGCTCGGCCCAGCCCGTGCCCCGTTCCTGGCCGCCCACCCCGGTAACTTCGCTGTATGCGTGCCGCGTGCGCCATGCGGAGCGCGACGGCGGCGAGGCGAGGCGAGGCGAGGCGCTGCAGGCGCAGAGCCGGCCTCCGGGCTTCAGGGTCCCCTGGCGGCGGCCGGCGGCCAGCCAGGGGCTTCGCGGGCTGCCCGCCCGCCCGCCCGCCCGCCAGTCTTCCGGACCAGCGGCAGCTCCGCGAAGCAGCCGTGCGGAGCCTCCGGTGTCCGCACAGGAAGCCCCCGCAGCTCCCGCCTCGCAGCGGTTGCGCCCCAGAGCTCTGAAGAGCGGCTCCCGTTCCTGGGCGCATCCGCACACCGTCTACGACCGCCGCCCGGGAGGGGGAAGTCCGGCGCACCGACGCAGCCCGGGAAAAGCAGTCGCCACTACCTCCTGCGGAGCGGCCCGAGTCCGGTGCCCGCCTAGGCGGCTCTCCGCGCCGCGGCTCTCCGGCCGTTCTTCCCTTCGGCCCCCGCGGCGCGCCGGGCTCTTCTGGCTCGGAGGACGGCTGGGCGCGGGCGGCGGCAGATCCAGCGGTGGACGGAAACCAGGCAGCGGGGGAAGCGCATTTATCGGCGGCGCGGCTGCGGCTGCGGCTGCGGAAGCTCGCGGGCTCTCGGTGCACCGGAGGGCTGAGAGCGCCGCCTCGCCTTCCGCCGCGATCGCCGACAGCCGAGACTGGCAGCCCGAAGCCAGGAGAGGAGAGGAGAGGAGAGGCGAGGCGAGGCTTCCTCCCGCGCTGCGCTGCGCTGCGCTGTGCTCCCTCTCCTGCCCTGCCCTGCCCTGCCCTCCCCGCTTTGGAGGAGGGCGCAGCTGCAGCTCGCGCGTCTTCTCGAGGAGCGGCGGCGGCGGCGGCGGCAGAAAAGGCGCGTCAATGGCGCTCCGTCTCCCGAGCGAGCGAGCGAGCGAGGCACGGAGCGCCTCCCTCCCCTGCCCGCCTCTGCGCTGGCGTCGCCGGGGCTGGACGCGAGCGGGAGGCCTGCCGGGTGGGCAGCGCACGGAGTGGGATCCCTCGCCGCAGTGGGAGCGGGTGTGACGAGGCACCGGGCGACCTGTTGGCAGGAAGGAGTCCAACAGGCTCCTTCCTCGGGAGGTCGCCCTGTCCCCGGGGCCAGCCAGCTGTCGCGGAGCACAGGGCGGCTGCCGCCGCGCCGGGTCTCGGGGGTGGGCAGGGATATCCCGCCGGCAGCCTGGGAGGGGATGTCCTGTCGAGCAAAGGCGTCCTGGAAGCCAGGCGCAGGCAGAGGGCGATCAGACAGGAGCGAGGGCCCAGGGGCAGAAAGGGGCTGCTCTGGCGGGCAGAACCAGACGCTCTTGCTGTGTTCTGCGGTATCCGACCATGGCTGCCCTGGGAAGGGAGGCTTACCTTCCAAAGACAGCTGGGTTCTGGGGAAGGCAGCTGAGGTGAGGCACGAGGCCACGTGCGAGGCCATGGCATGGGCCAGCAAGAGCCAGAGAGCCCTGCTGGGAGGGCCCTCCGCTGGAGGGAGCAGCTGGCCAGAGTGCAGGGAGCGGCCAGGATCCCAGGGAGGGAAGAGACTGCACCACGGAGCCGTCCAGAGGCAGGACGTGGCTGCAGCCACCCAACCCTGCTGCTGCTATGCGGTGCCAGCGACACTGTTGCTGGGGAGGTGGCCCCACCAGACCCTCTTCTGTGCAATGGCGGGTCCGTCTGAAGGACCCTCCTTGCAGGCTGAGCTGGGGCCCCCTTTGCACAGGAGCTGACTGCATCTCGGGCTTGAAGGATGCCAGGGTTGCTCAGGCCCTTGCCGCTGGTTCACTCTCAGGCTCAGAGGCAGGTGCTGAGCAGCTATCAAGAGACCCCCAAGCCACCAAAGGATTCAGGTTGATCCAACGGCGACTGTGTCCCTGTGAGAAAGAAGGGGTCAGCCCATGAGGAAAAGGGCAGTGCTTGTGCACAGTCCCAGGCAGTGCTGAGCTGCAGCACTGGACCGGTGGGGGGGGGGGGGCTCTGAAGGATTAGGTCTAAGGGCGGAGAGAGCTGGAATAAGGTCTCAGCACCAGACTTGCATGCTGCTTGAAGTGGATTTCTTCTCTGAGTTTGGACTGCCTGCTGATCTTGCTGTTGGCATTGCTGCTGACCATGACTTATGCCCTGCAGCTCCATCCCTTTGCTAGCACAAGTGGGACATTTAACTTCCAGCAGGAAAGGGGCTGAGTAGGGCTGCTGCCCTGGAATCTCAGAGATCCAGATACAGCCAAGTGGCCACTGCGCTCTTGGGCACATGGCACGGCCAAGAAGATTGTGGCATGCTTTTTCTGAGAAGCACATGTAATCAACATGCTCAGCACTACTGAGTGGCATCTGAAATTGGGCAGCCCATGGAAGAAGTTGAGGAAGATCCTGCTGCAAAGCGGAGCAAGAGAAACGTTCTGAACTATCTCAGGCACTGGCAGAGGTTGGCCAGAGAAATCATTTGCATGGATGAGGGAAGAGAACAGGGAAACGGCAGAGAGATTATGTCACCTGCTTTCCTTTGTTTCTTCTTCATGGAAAGAGCCACAGCAGAACCATTGTTACAATCTCTTCCTGTATCCGAAAAGCCAAGAAAGGGAGATGGCCAAGAAAGAGGATTTAGAACAAATCAGCGAACTAGGCTGGCATTCACTCAAGAGTTGAGCTCTTAAAGAAATGAAACGTGGATTCACACAACAATGAAACATCTAGCACAACGTTAAGTGTAGCCTTTCTACCTTATACCTACAAAGTGGTCCGTGTGAAACCGGGTCTTTCTCACAGGGTATTCTTTTGTTTATTTATAGCGTAAGGAAGAGAGCAGAGGCAGCTGAAGCTAGTCTTACCAGACTTGCTGGAAGAAAACATTCTGAGTCAGATGGCTCCTTTCATTGGCTATTCCTGTGTGACAATGTCCCAGAGAATCATGGGATTCCCTGAAGCTCCTCGCCAAGATGACTTGCACAACAATAGGTGAGGTGGAGTGACTGGAAAACAATCCACTGCATAAGGAGAAGCCAGCAAAGCAAATTCCAGGCTACTCCGTGGGCCTCCACCACCTATATGCTCAGGCAGCTTCTTTATTAGATTAGCATCCTGTTCCACCCCTCCTGGGAACTTGTCTGATCCATCAAGAATGAGAAGCCTCTGATTTCAGAAGAATTGAAGACCAGCAGATCTACAAGCAAGGCCCATGTTCCCCCTTTCCTGTCTGACATAATGCACTGCTCATACGTGCTCTTGGCTGAATCCATCATTCGCCACAGTTGTTTCGTACATTTTTCTATGCTGCCTTGAACGGCTCTCCAATCAACTGCACAATACTTCCCTTCCCTTAGCAGATGGAGAGGATAAGATAAGTAGCGGACATCTGCGCCAGCCCCAAAGGGCCAGTGATACAGATGCAGGGGTCATGTCCCCTCAGGCCAGAGGAAAGATTGGTCGTGATTGAACCTGGACTTGGCAATGCCTTGGAGGAAAAGTGCCTCTCATGCCAGCTGTGCCATGTGAAGGTTTCCACAGGAGGGTCTCCTGGAGCTCCCACAAGCCGTGAAAAATGGAGCAGAGCCTCAAGACTCACATGTGGGCCAACAGCTTTTGTTGGTTTGTTTCATTTTGTTTTGCTAAACAAAATTTCTTGGAAGGAACATTGCAGCGCTCACAATACTGGACTTCCTGGGAAGCACCTTCACTTAAACCTGCACTGCAGGCAAATGCAGGAGGTGCATCGTCCTTGGCTGTGGCTAAGTGAGATTTAGCATTAATTGTGCAGGTGGGTGGGGAATTTCAGGGAAGTTCTCCTAATTTGCAGAAGCAGACATAGTTATTTGATCTACATTCCCTTAACTGGAAAACTCATCAGTCCGTGTTCAATGCTGTGTTGAATTCCCCCAGCCCAGGTGTTGATGAGGGAGATACAGGTGGTATAATACTGTGACAAGAATGTAAGCAGACTGTGTCGGATCAGGTCCAAGGCCCATCGACTCCTGCCTCATATTCCCTACAGTGGCCATGCAGTTGCCCCTGGAAACCCACAGAAAGCAGGACATGAGTGGAACAGCTCCCTCTGCTGGCGTTCCCCAGCAATTGGGACTGAGAAGCATTTTGCTTCTGATGCCCAGAAGGTAGAAGCATCCTGACTAGCAGCTGGCTAGTTGCTGATAGCCACTGCCATGGGACAGAGAGCACATCTGTTCTCTCCGCCTTCCGGCAACCTTGGCTCAGAAGCATCCCCGCGCCTGTTTCCCTCTGCCCTCCCTTGGGAAAAGTCAGCCCAGCTGTGGTTATTGCTACTTCCACGGCCCCCAGCCTGTCCAGAACGTCTCAGCTGCCAGTTGTGATTTCTCAATATGCAAACACAAAGGCAAAATCCAAGGCTTGTACCCTGGTACCTTGGCTCACGAACGCCTCAGTTCATAGAATCAGGTCGCAAACAGAAATTTCAGGAAAATTTTTCCTCAGGTCACGAACTCCACATTGGGTGACAATCCAGGGTGGGGGAGATGGCCGCAATCATGCTGGGGGGGAGATGGCCGCCCATCTCTCCCCCCCTGCCCAAGCGCACCTGCTGATCGTGTTCGGAGGGGGGGGGGAGATGGCCATGATTGTGCCCCTGTTCCCTGCCTGAGCGTGACTGCGATTGTGCCCATCTATGGCGATCTATGATGATGTATGGTGATCATGGTCGTGCTGTGCGGGGGGGGGGGGGAAATGGCTCCGATCTTTGTTGTTCTTTGTCACCTTGCTTCAATTTTTTGTGATTAAAAAAATTAGTTACAGAACAGATTAACCTTCTTTACATTGAACCTTATGGGGAAATTTGACTTGGCTCATGACTAATTTGGGTGGCGACCAGAGACATGGAACAGATTAAGTTCGTGAGCCAAGGTGCCACTGTCCACTGGAAAGCCATTGCGCTAAATCTGCATGTTCCCAGTTATGCCGTATGATTTTTGCAGCTGAACCCCACAGAGAAGAGCTTCTCCTGGGGGCCCAGCACTAGGAGCAGAGCCTTCCCCGTGGAGGCTCACCCGGCAGCTTCAGACATTGCATGGACTTTAACAAGAGAGGGAGAGTCACTTCCGTTGCAGCAAGTGTCTCTTCTCTTTCTGTCACCATGGCCATTTTAGACAAACAGGTCCCAAATCTGATGCTCAGCCTGGACTTGTTTTCACTAGTTTTTCTTAATTAAGCAGCATTTGGAAACTAATTAACAGATTATGTTTAAAATAACTTCTCAGAACATTCACACCTCGACACTGGAAATCTGGGTCAGAAGCCGCTACTTGGCAGAACACAAGGTCAGGCTGGTCTTGACTCACGTGAGACCGTCAGGGCAGGGCCACCACCGCCCCCCTTTCCTTTTGCTTGGGACACTCTGTGATCAGCTCTTTATTGTCTGATCTGGGCAGCGGAAGCTTCAGCTCGGACTCCGTGGGCATCAGTCCAACCAGAGT